CCATCCCCGCCTCTTCGACCTGTTTGTTTCCTCTCCACCTATCCTCTCCTCTATCCCTCTTCTATCCGCCTCCCACTCTCTCCCTATTTATTTCAAAACCCCCTTCCCCTCCCCCTTTTCTGATGAAGGGTCTAGGCCCGAAACGTCAGCCTCTCTGCTCCTATGATGCTGCTTGGCCTGCTGTGTTCATCCAGCCCTGCACCTTGTCTGACACTAATTGAGCCAGCTACCATGAACCACTACAGTTTATGTCCTTCTCACAAGGAAGAGGAAAAATAGACAAGTGTTGACTTAACATCCATATCCCTCAAGAGAAAACTGGACTCCAATAGCTGGCAGATTAAACTGTGGTGTCAGTGTTATGACCAGTGAACAGGTAGATCAAAGAAAGATTTTATTTCAATGAGGTAGAACAATCGATTCTTTGTTACAAGGTCTGACAAAAAAGGAAGTGACATTGACTACTTGTTTCCAACTCTACCTGAAGAAAACTGGCAGAAAACAATATACTCCATGCCACCCTAACTGCTGTCCTCCAGGGAGAGCCTGTCAAACAGGTACTCTCCCATCCCATTCTCAGGAGCTCCCAGACGCTTCAGGTTGGTGATGTAGTCCCCAAGTTGCTTGATGGTCTTCAACTCCTCATCCAAATAGTGAGTCTCCAGGAAGTCACACAGCTGAAAGGAAGGCAGGCAGTGAAATATTGCAAGAGTCAGAATGTTGGGGGGGGACACTTCCACTACACATTTTCCACTGATTTCACAACAGTGAGTATCATTTTCAGGAGGTGATTCTACCAACTAATTAAAACAATTTAACTTCAAAGCTCATTGGGAGCCAACCAGTTTGGAATATTCAGTGCATGAGAGAAAGGGTGCTAAAGAGTAAAGACTGGCATTCAGAATCTGCAGAAACGTCACTGGCTAGATTTTTCCCTACTCTAGTGACTAATACTGGGGGAAGCCCAGTGTGCACAGCAGTTCTAGAGACAACTTTTCAAATCTTTTAAAAACTGGCCAGGACACCCCTTGCTCCAAGTATTACAAGGAGCTCGACCTTCACCCAACGTGGGCATATTCAGTCCACTTCACCTGATTAGCACTGTCTAAGTGATCACAATGAGGTGATGATGCTTACATGAGGGTCAGTCTGGGCAGTGGCGAGTTGGTGTAGATCCAGCAAACTCTGGTTCACATTCTTCTCTAGATCCAGGGCAACCTGCATTGCCTGCAGACTGTTACCCCACTCATCCCTCTCTGGCTCCTGAGAATGGAAAGGAGGACAGTTAGGCTTCAGGACAAAAACCTCACTGGTTTGCATTACTTGCAGCACCCTTGTTCAACAGTTGACCCTTTACTCTTGATGCAGAGGAAAAGCATTATTGCTGTCATGTCTAATCAAATTCTAGAAGGAGCACACACTTGGATATTGTCTGACTGCACTTGGTACAAACAGAATTGCTTTAAAAACTGACAGAGTCCAGCTACATCATCACCAGACCTTGAACTTAGACCCTGAGTGTACATTTGATCTCACTGAAACCACTAACATGGGAACATGGTCGAGATTAACACTCAGAACTGATACAATATAGTCCTTGCACATCATGGAGACAGACAAGTGAAGTTCAAAGAAACACTTCACTTGTTACACCTGCCTTTAGGATGTGATAATCTAGTTACTGATTAACGTAAGCCACATCACAAGGGCAGCTGTTCATCTTCCAACCACCACCCCACCCCCTCAAAACTCTAGCGAGGTCAGAGACAGAATAGTGTTGTGACTAGGACCACAATCAGAAGGACAGGGTGGCACTGCAGGGGGTGGGAGGGCAGTGAGGGTCACCAGAATGTTGCCCGAGGTAGAGAAAGTCCATGGAGAAGGGGCTGAGAAAGTTAGAAGTATAGAAGATTGGAGTCCAGACAGTAGGTGGGCAGAATGTCTTCCCCATGGCAGACCAAGACCAGAGGGCACAGGTTTGAGGAGTAAGTAAGTTAGAAGGGATTGGGGGAACTTTGTCCCCCTGAAAAGGAGGGTGCTAGAAATTTGAATGTACCACCCGATGGGGTGGGGGGAAGTGATAGTAGAGGCAGCTACTCGAGCAACATTTGAGCAGCATCTGGACAAGTACAGTAGGCTGTAGACTGAGTGGAGTAAGTGGGATTAGTGCAGTTTGGGGTTTGTTGACCAGCATAGATATGGTGGGCCAAAGGGTTTGTTTCTTTGCTGCTTGACTTGGAGATCAAACAGGGAAGCCAAGCAAAAAAGAGCCTTTTAAACTTTCCTTTAGGATGTGAAAATCCTGTCACTGATGACAGGAAGTCACACCACTAGAGCAGCCATATCCACACAACACCAACCTTCACATCCTGGAGGAGGACTCTGCCTCCACGCCGATTCTGGAATTTCAGCAGCTTCTCTGCATGTTCCTGCTTCTCCTGGGACTGATCTTTGAAGAACTGGGAGAAATGGGGGAGAGCAACATCATCCCAGTCAAAGTAGGACATCTGGAAGAGAACAAATTATATCCCATTGAATCATATCAGTGGCCTCAGTTCTCATCTCAGAATTGGAAACTTTAGCATTCTAAATCAAACTGACTATTCAATAAGTTGTTAAACCTCTGGTATATCGAAATGGGTGATAAGCAAGTGTTGTTCAGTTAGTTGTGCAGATGTAGATTTAATTTGGTTCCATGATGAACATTAAGTTGTAGCTTTTGACAAAGTGACAGCTCAGTTGGAAGAAAGAAACTGGAGTAAGTACAATCTACCCTGCTCAATTCGAAGTTAACCAGAAGGAATTCTGGTCACTGGTTCATTTTTCCAAGTGTAAAGTGGAAAAACACAAAACTGATCAAAACAAACAGGAGTAGGCCATTCAGTCCCTCAATCCTACTTAAGGATGATAAAGTAACTATGAGGCTATTGCAAGGCATTAATATTTTCCTCACCAAGGAAGGATACTTCAACAAACACCTTTCAAACCTACAAATCCTACCATTTAGGTGGTCATGGGCACAGCACCAACTGGAAAAAAGGGGCCAGTTTCAAGTTAGGCTGGCATGGGAACAGAATCTCCATTTCTTCACTGTTATTGAGTCAAATAGCTCAGGACAATCCAACAGCATCAACACACTATAGATCAACTAATCCAGGTGACAGGATAAGCCACAAATAGTCACCTCACTATGGACACCCATCTCAAATAGTACATAGGGAAAAAAGTTATATAGACCACAAGTGTGGCCGACATAAGTGGGTGCCAGTCACAGCCTGGCCTTAAATACTTTTGGTCAGATAAGCAAAATCTGACTGGCAATCGTTGCCACAAATCTTTACTGCATATCCAAGTTAGCATCATGTTTATCTGGGATCACCAGAAAACTAAGCATCAAGTTATATTGCAACAGCCAAAAGAGGGTGACTAGCTAATTGGTGCTTCTATTCCAACAATATGGTTGACCCAAATACTTGCTAAAGGGGACATCAGAACCATAGAACACCTGTGTTGAAGTAGGCCATTCAGCCCATCAAGTCACCACCAACATTGTAAACAGCATCCCAACCAAATCCACACCCCAACCTTGTCAGTAATATGCATTTCACATGGTTAAACCCACATGTGCTGCTCAGCCTTAGACACTATGGACATGCTAAATTGCCCAATCTACCCAACCTGCAAATCTTTAGACTATGAGGAAAGAGACACAAGGAGAAGGTCTTTCTGCAGTTTGTACAGTTGCCCAAGTTTGGGATCAAACACAGGTCCTTAGGACTGGGAGGAAGTGTTAACCACTGAGCCACCATGACACCCGAAAAGTGGGCCTAACAAATATCCAGTTTTGACAATCCTAAGGAAGAAACGACAGTTACTATCAGTCACAACTATCTAAGTGAGTGAATTAGAAAGTAATTCCAAGAATACTCCACCTTTCATATATCACTGCAAGCAAACTAGGGCATCAGTATCATACTCCATTATTATGATAAGATCACATCCATCCTGAATTGTGAATTAGTTAAGAGTTACAAAAAAGTCAGTCAATCTACAAGATCAAGTTAGTTAGAAACAAGGGAAACCATTCACTTCAACATAATATATTAAATTTTAACCCCATAGAGGCAACACTCACCAAAGACTGATAGAGATAGGAGGCAGTGAGC